TATGCACCTAACGTATCGAGGCCGATGCACAGAAAACGTCATTATTATAGTGCTTTAATTTGCACTAATCTGTCGCATTTTTAACGGATTTGTCGATTCCTGTAAAAAAAACACTATATCATCCCGACCTCTTTATATACAGTAGTAGCTGGATTAACAGACCTGAGCCACTAAGTGAGGTGAGTACATGAGTACCACTAGGTGAGTCCACTAGGTGAATACATGAGAACCACTAGGTGAGTCCACTAGGTGAATACATGAGTACCACGCTGACATAATGTTGTGAAGTATTAGGCCTATATATATACACATCTATCATCACATCCACATTAACGTGAAATTCTAGGCGAAATCGTTTGGGGCAGGACTGCAGGATCGAACCTCCGCTCTGAGTTACCACAGACCACGATATTTTGCCGATTTAGCAAAATTACTGTTTCCGTGCTGTAATCGTCTACTGTAGCCTAACTTCATACTATGTATTCCCCCTGGAAACGTCAACACTTAAAACTCATTACAAAACTGTACTTGTACTATATGTACAAGTACATATCCTCCATATGTGTCTTGAGTACACCATATTAGATTATCATCGATATTTTGCACATCCTGCCATGCCTACTGGTTTCAGATGATGTAATCTCCGAGTTTAGATTTGGAACTAGTTACTGTGTTGGAGAGGGGGGGGGCTAATCCCCCTCCAATTTGGGGGCTAAGGAGTTGGAACCAGGCCTTATCACTGTTCCTGATCAAACCAGGTCTTATCACAGCTCAACAGAACCCTTCCTGCTAAAAATTAATCACCACTAAATCCACTGAACCTGTTTAAGAAAAAAAATCCCCCAGGAATACCAACCAACACGCCCAATGTGATAAATCCCCCACCTGACCCCTCCATTCCAGAAAGTAATCCCAGACAAAATTGCCATTAAATCCCTGTAAATCGTTAAGATTAACCTCTTCTTTAATGTCCAGCGACGTGACTTGGGTCTGCGGGTAGAGATGTTATTTAATAATGGCTGGCTAAGCGGAGGATTACTTGGGATGGGACTATCCCATCCCCACACCTGGCGCTGGGCGGCGCTGGGTGGGATGGGGCGAGACTGTGAGAGGTGTGGGTGAGGCTGGAAGGGGGGAGGAGCCAGATGGAAGGGGAGGAGCGAGACTGGAAGCGTTGGAGCCAGACTTAAATTGTTAGATACTTGGAAGTGGAAAAAAATGAACAGTTCGTAAGTGAAAATATTATTACGAAAAATTCGAAAGTGAAAAAATCATGACTACTTAATGGTATGAACTTCAGTAGATTGGTAAAGTAGTAATATTTATGCAAACTTCCTTAAGTTGAAGAGCAGTTTGAATACTGTATCTATAATAACGTAGTACCTATCATTCTACTCAATACCAAACCTTTGATAAATGATACATTGATGAAGCTGGTGATAAATAATCTAATAGCACCTAAGGGCGGCTTTAACCTTTCGGCCCGGAGGTGGGCCAAAACGCTACCGTCAACATCTTTCTTATCGGCGAGCGTAATAAACAAATCACTCTACCTCATCTCGTCTTGATTCCTCGTCTGGGCCAAACATCCTTCCCCCCCCCCCCCCGCACCCCGAGTCAGAAGGGTCGGAAGGTCACACCAGGAGGTCATTCCTCGCCCTTGCGCTTACGGGCTATTCATGCCCGTGCCACCTCTTGGGTGGCTTAATCTTTATCAATCAATCAGATGCTTCTGTTTATTAAACAGTAACTACGGGAAGGTGTGATCTAGTTGAACAAATCAACAAGGGCCGTGACGATGATTCGAACCTACATCCGCGAGCATCCCAGACGTGAGATCTAGTTCTTTACGCCTTTCATATCTTGAAATGGCCCTTTCCTTGCGTGTTGGACTGTCTGTTAAATCTATAGTTATGAGTTGGGATGCAGGTGGTAATATCTCGTTCCTCGGATACATTTGTGTTTTGTTTACTAACATAGGTACGTAGGGCATTCGTGCGGGTACCCTGGGGTACGACACGCCCTCTCGACCCTCCCCATTGTGTCCGGGGTCACCCAAGGTCGTAGGGAGGTCAATCACCCACGATACGTAATTGTGACCCATTACCAACACGACCTTTGATATCTGCTCACCAAACAGCTTCTGATTCTCAGACGTTTTGTGTACCCACTTCGACTATCCCACCATCTCTATCCAGTCGTCGACCCTTCCCTCTCTCTCTCTCCCCCTCCCTCCCTCTCTCACTCTCCCCCTCCCTCCCTCTCACTCTCACTCTCTCCCTCCCTCGCTGGGTTTCCGCTACGGATTTTCACGTGAAGAGCTCAACACGCAGACCGGCGGAGCCTCGCTACATATCTCACGCGCCACAGACGTCAAACCCACCACCTCCGGTCACGTGCAGGTGGTGGTGGACGTGAACCCCATCTGCGGCCTCCGGTGTTAAGTCAGCCATTACAAGGACGAACTGTCTGTGTCAGCCACCACGACGTCAGGTCCTTCCTATATATATATATATCCTGTCACGGAGTAGGCTTCCCTCTCCATGCTCAAGGTCAATGTCTCCTTCCTTCACACTCTCAGGCATTCGTGCATGCACGCGCACACGCACGCATACACGCACGTATACACACGCGTACATGTATGCATAAACATACGCACACGTATGTGCGTATGGCTACATAGATTGATTGATGAAGATTAAGCCACCCAAGAGGTGGCACGGGCATGAATAGCCCGTAAGTGGTGGCCCTTTTGAGTCATTACCAGTATCAATAGATGATACTGGAGATCTGTGGAGGTGCGACTGCACCCTGCGTGACGGGAGATACGTCTCCCGTGGGCTACATAGGCTGGCTAACGGCAGAACTGCCTTTAGAAGGGATGGGAAGTGAACTATCAGGGGAAAGCGTCAAGACATTACAACTATATAGCACTGGGAAGGGATCAGGATAAGGATTTAGGATGGGACAGGGGAGAATTTAATGGTGCCCAACCATTTGGACGGTCGGGTATTGAACGCCGATCTGCATGAAGCGAGACCGTCGCTCTACCGTCCAGCCCAAGTGGTTGGGGTCTGCCTTTAGAAATTAGTGAGAAATCATTCAGAACCTTGTATATCACGTATGTAACACCAATCCTGGAGTATGCGGCCCCAGCAAGGAGCCCGTACCTTGTCAAGCACAAGACGAAGCTGGACAAAGTTCAGAGGTATGCCTCTAGAATAGTCCCAGAACTAAGAGGCATGAGTAACGAGGAAAGGCTGCGTGATTTACACCTCACGTCGCTGAAAGACAGCAGAGCTCGAGAAGACATGATCACCACATACAAAATTCTCAGGGGAATTGACAGGATAGACAAGGATGGATTATTTAACACGGGTGGTACACACACAAGGGGACACAGGTGGAAGCTGAGTACCCAAATGAGCCACAGAAACATTAGAAAGAACTTTTCAGTGTCAAGGTTGTTAACAGATGAATGCATTAGGCAGTGATGTGGTGGTCGCAGACTCCATACACAGTTTCCACTGTAGATATGATAGAGCTCAATAGGCTCGGGAACCTGTACACCAATTGATTTGGTTCCGTTGAGAGGCGGGACCAAAGAGCCAAAGCTGAACCTCCACAAGCACAACTAGGTGAGCACACGCACGGGTAGACAATCTCGTAGGGTTTCGGAGTTCGTAAACTGTTTAATAAATAGAAATTAAGACATCATGACCGAAGAAATGGCGAGGTAATTTTGAGGAGAAAATGCTAAGCCGATATGACTTCCACTTGGAAGGATATGAGGACAAGGAGCTGGGATATGAGGACAAGGAGCTGGGATATGACAAGGAGCTGGGATATGAGGACAAGGAGCTGGGATATGACAAGGAGCTGGGATATGAGGACAAGGAGCTGGGATATGACAAGGAGCTGGGATATGAGGACAAGGAGCTGGGATATGACAAGGACCTGGGATATGAGGACAAGGAGCTGGGATATGACAAGGAGCTGGGATATGAGGACAAGGAGCTGGGATATGACAAGGAGCTGGGATATAAGGACAAGGAGCTGGGATATGAGGACAAGGAGCTGGGATATGACAAGGAGCTGGGATATAAGGACAAGGAGCTGGGATATGAAGACAAGGAGCTGGGATATGAGGACAAGGAGCTGGGATATGAGGACAAGGTGCTGGGATATGAGGACAAGGAGCTGGGATATGAGGACAAGGAGCTGGGATATGAGGACAAGAAGCTGGGATATGATGACAAGAAGCTGGGATATGAGGACAAGAATCAGGGATATGATGACAAGGAGCTGGGATATGAGGACAAGAAGCTGGGATATGATGACAAGAAGCTGAGATATGATGACAAGGAGCTGGGATATGAGGACAAGGAGCTGGGATATGAGGACAAGAAGCTGGGATATGATGACAAGAAGCTGGGATATGAGGACAAGAAGCTAGGATATGAGGGCAAGAAGCTGGGATATGAGGACAAGAAGCTGGGACATGAGGACAAGAAGCTGGGACATGAGGACAAGGATCTGGGATATGAGGACAAGAAGCTAGGACATGAGGGGGGAAATGAACGTCACTCATCCACTTGAGTTATCGGGGGATCGACAACCGAGCGTGCAAGATACGAGGCCGTCGATAAACATGAACACGTAAGTGGACTCGTAAGTGGATACGCAAGTCCCTAATGAATTGTGGATTTGTGGATAAGCCCGGCGAGGGCATGTGTGTGATCTTACACACCTGTAGGGGCCTGGCTGAGGACCACCACCTCAGCCAGGCCCTCCCCATTTATTTATTTATTTATTTATGCATATACAAGAATGTACATAAGGAATGTGAGGATACAATTATGGTAATTACAGTCTTGTAAAGCCACTAGCACGCGCCACTAGCCACTAGCGCCACTAGCACGCCCATCAAGTCATTGGGAGGAGAAAACCCCACACAAACTGCTTCATAGGATAAGGAATTGTCAATGGGTAGTACTCACCCCCTGCGAAGCTGTCAGTCCCTCTGGTAGAACACACAGTAGCGGCTCCCACCGGAGGCTCCCTTCACCCCGACACGTCACACGCTCGCCAACCACTGAAAACGGGAAGACGTTATGGGGTACCTTAATAAAACAAGATAAAAATAATAATAATTCAATGTACTCACCTAGTTGTGTTTGCGGGGGTTGAGCTCTGGCTCTTTGGTCCCGCCTCTCAACTGTCAATGTGTACGGGGCAGGTAGCCAGAGTGTATTTATACACGTTAGGCTTATATCGAGGTTTCCCCATAGGTCGAATTACCAGGATACAACCCCATAACAAGCTGACTAACTCCTGGGGGTACCTACTTACTGTGCTAAGTGAACAGAGGCATCAGATGATAAGATATTCACCAAACCATTTCTGTCCCGCCCGAGATTCGAACCTGGAATTCTATAAATTGTGAATCGAAAACAACCCCCCCACTGTACTACCGGAACTTATAATAAACGAAATAAAACAATAAAGTTCATATATAGACCATATTACATATATACAATAATATATAATGAGTCCAAAATTATATATTATACTTGGAACCATAATTGCAGTTGATAGTTTATAGTCATAACACAAAACTGAAATAATAATAAAAATAATACTAATAATAATAATAATAATAATAATAATAATAATAATAATAATAATAATAATAATAATAATATCACACTGACGTGATGTATCAGTGAGAAAATAAGAATAGGAGCTGTGAAAAGGATTCGAACCCCCCACACATGGTACACCCAAGCACACGCCCTAGACCACTACACCATGACATGGTAAAAAGCAATGCAACCTGGAATTCAACTGAGTTCTCTAAAGGGTCCCGAAGCTTCCACTGAAGCCCCAACCAGGGTGAAACACAGTGAAACTCTCTTCAAATGTGCAATGAAATCCCATTAACCTAGGAGTCGTGAGCAGGATTCGAACCCACACACTTGGAAGTACCAAGCGTACTTCTTGTCCATAAACGAATTATTATTATATCAGAGAGAGAGAGAGAGAGAGAGAGAGAGAGAGAGAGAGAGAGAGAGAGAGAGAGAGAGAGAGAGAGAGAGAGAGAGAGAGAGAGAGAGAGAGAGAGAGAGAGAGAGAGAGAGAGAGAGAGAGAGAGAGAGAGAGAGAGAGAGAGAGAGAGAGAGAGAGAGACTGAGGCTTTAATATAGGCTTGCAATTTTATTCATATATATGTAAATTAATATATTATCGACGTTGTTGTTTACAAATGGAAATAAATGATTTAATGTAAGTTCACATGTCCAGTCATATTATTATTATTATTATTAGGTGAGGAGCGGAAAGTGAAGCCTAACCATGTCTATGTGATCACCAATTCAATAACTGGCAAGTGCCGACGATGCTTAACCTCAATGATCGGGTGAGGCGCACATGCTCAACAAAGCAGTGAATTTCGCTTTTCGAATTTATGCGATTTTATAACTTATTTTTTAAACTTATTACAGTCTCCCCCTCAAAAGAAATTCAAGTCCAGTAGAAACACGACCATTTTTAAAGAAAACGTACCCAAGTAACGAAAGAAGAAAACGAAAAGTATTCAGGACTAACCATAATATTCTTAAATATTATTGAACACGCGTATGGTTTCAATTGCAATAAATAATTGAAACTAATTATGCGAAAATGTTCACAAATGTTCATAAATACTGTTCATAAATGCTTTTCTTACAATCGTATTTACTTCTGCTAAATCTTAATTTTAAAGATAGTGTTGTCCTTCTATACACAGGTGGGTACAGGGGCACCTATACACGGGTGGGTACAGGGGCACCTATACACGGGTGGGTACAGGGGCACCTATACACAGGTGGGTACAGGGGCACCTATACACGGGTGGGTACAGGGGCACCTATACACGGGTGGGTACAGGGGCACCTATACACGGGTGGGTACAGGGGCACCTATACACAGGTGGGTACAGGGGCACCTATATACGGGTGGGTACAGGGGCACCTATACACGGGTGGGTACAGGGGCACCTATACACGGGTGGGTACAGGGGCACCTATACACGGGTGGGTACAGGGGCACCTATACACGGGTGGGTACAGGGGCACCTATACCCACCCTACAGGTGGGTATAGGAGCAGACTTTTTATTTTTTTTGGAGGGATATTCCTGTGCGGGCCCTAAGCCTCTGGCTGGCCCACTAAGTGTTTCTTGTTTCTTGTTTATATCTCAGGCGGAGTATTGTGAGATTAGATTTTAGATTGAGATTAGAGTGAGATTAGTCTTAGATATATGACTCGTATGGTCGCTTCAGTAAGATTATATCCAGTGTGTTTAACAACTTCTTCTGCTCTGTTGAATCTTAAGTTGACATCTTATTGGGTTTGTAACTGTGCACTGTGTTAGATAATGTTCCAGTGGTCTGTTGTGGTTGTAACTGTGCACTGTGTTAGATAATGTTCCAGTGGTCTGTTGTGGCTGTAACTGTGCACTGTGTTAGATAATGTTCCAGTGGTCTGTTGTGGCTGTAACTGTGCACTGTGTTAGATAATGTTCCAGTAGTCTGTTGTGGTTGTAACTGTGCACTGTGTTAGATAATGTTCCAGTGGTCTGTTGTGGTTGTAACTGTGCACTGTGTTAGATAATGTTCCAGTGGTCTGTTGTGGTTGTAACTGTGCACTGTGTTAGATAATGTTCCAGTGGTCTGTTGTGGCTGTAACTGTGCACTGTGTTAGATAATGTTCCAGTAGTCTGTTGTGGTTGTAACTGTGCACTGTGTTAGATAATGTTCCAGTGGTCTGTTGTGGTTGTAACTGTGCACTGTGTTAGATAATGTTCCAGTGGTCTGTTGTGGTTGTAACTGTGCACTGTGTTAGATAATGTTCCAGTGGTCTGTTGTGGCTGTAACTGTGCACTGTGTTAGATAATGTTCCAGTGGTCTGTTGTGGTTGTAACTGTGCACTGTGTTAGATAATGTTCCAGTGGTCTGTTGTGGTTGTAACTGTGCACTGTGTTAGATAATGTTCCAGTGGTCTGTCGGGCATTTCTCCACAATGTAGGAGCAGACGACTTCTGACTTATGTTAGCACAACCCATCCTCCTGTTTAAATAGTATTTTGTGTAACTATATGTACCATAGTACAAACATTGACGTACTAAGCAATTAGCTAGTAAAAATGTGCAGTATTCACTCTATAGTCCGAAAAAATTAAGCTAAATAACAAACTTAAATATTTCTAAGCCTAGTATAGCACACATATGAACTATACTAGGCCTTAGCGTGCATTAGGCCTAGAAAAACTAGGTTAGGTTAGTTTACCTTTGCAACATAAGTAGAAAATCGTTTTCCGGTTTGTCCAAATTGAATGTGTCCAATGAACAAATCCACAAGAGCCGTGACGAGGATTCGAACCTACGTCCGAGATCATCCCAGACGCTGCCTTTATCGACTGAGCTACGACATGGTCAAAAGAGTTGAAACCGAAGTTTTCCGAAGTTTTCCAAATACATAAACCGAAGAATGTGTCCAAATTAGTAACATAAACTGTCAATACAAAATATTTCATATAGGCGATCAAATTGGTCCGGAAAAAAATAAGACCTAGTGGCCTAGTGCCGTAACAGACAGACAGACAGACAGACAGACAGACAGACAGACAGACAGACAGACAGACAGACAGACAGACAGACAGACAGACAGACAGACAGACAGACAGACAGACAGACAGACAGACAGACCTATTAAGGAACAATGGTTGCATTTCTTTGTCCAGCTCTCAGTGTGAAGTAAAATCCTTTGTTGAACACACACACACACACACACACACACACACACACACACACACACACACACACACACACACACACACACACACACGCCGCACGCTTTGTTATACAAGTTGCGTGCATGTATGTACGAATGAATATACGTATGTATGTACGAATGTATGTATGCATGTATGTATGTATGTTTTTAATGTATATTTTATTTTTTATTTTTTATCCCATGTATGATACAACAGGCTAAAGTATACCTGGGTTTTCTACTAGGGGTAACTTGAGTTACTTTTCTACTACAGTCATAAGTACAGCCTCATAAGTACCTGTGGAGCCTCACAAGTACCTGTGGAGCCTCACAAGTACCTGTGGAGCCTCACAAGTACCTGTGGAGCCTCACAAGTACCTGTGGAGCCTCACAAGTACCTGTGGAGTCTCACAAGTACCTGTGGAGCCTCACAAGTACCTATGGAGCCTTACAAGTACCTGTGGAGCCTCACAAGTACCTGTGGAGCCTCACCTGTACTTGTGGAGCCTCATAAGTACCTGTAGAGCCTCACAAAGTACCTGTGGAGCCTCACAAAGTACCTGTGGAGCCTCACAAGTACCTGTGGAGCCTCACAAGTACCTGTGGAGCCTCACAAGTACCCGTGGAGCCTCACAAAGTACCTGTGGTGCCTCACAAAGTACCTGTGGAGCCTCACAAGTACCTGTGGAGCCTCACAAAGTACCTGTGGAGCCTCACAAGTACCTGTGGAGCCTCACAAAGTACCTGTGGAGCCTCACAAGTACCTGTGGAGCCTCACAAAGTACCTGTGGAGCCTCATAAATACCTGTGGAGCCTCACAAGTACCTGTGGAGCCTCACAAAGTACCTGTGGAGCCTCACAAGTACCTGTGGAGCCTCACAAAGTACCTGTGGAGCCTCACAAAGTACCTGTGGAGCCTCACAAAGTACCTGTGGAGCCTCACAAGTACCTGTGGAGCCTCACAAGTACCTGTGGAACCTCACAAGTACCCGTGGAGCCTCACCTGTACTTGTGGAGCCTCATAAGTACCTGTGGAGCCTCACAAAGTACCTGTGGAGCCTCACAAAGTACCTGTGGAACCTCACAAGGTACCCGTGGAGCCCCTCACCTGCATGTATCACACACACACACACATATAATAGTTGGGGCCGACACCTCCCTATTTTAGGTGGGGTTTATGCAAATGAAGTGGCTACCTGTCCGGTTCGTATAGCTGGTTTAATAAGTTGCCTTCACATGCCTACCTACCCACACGCCTACCTTGCTACCTGCCTAAATGCCTA